AGACAAACATTCACAACAAGATCGTACTAAAAGCATTTCAAAAAACGTCCTAAACTTACCTCAGATAATTTTGAAACATAATTTATAGTCCATTATTTCTATCAGTGTTTAGAGATATTTTTTGCAAATAAGTGAAGGGAAATACGTTAGTAAAAATTGTACAAGTATCTTTGCTGTAGAGAAATTACTGCCATTTTTTAAGGTTTTATGAACCGTAAGATCTCTGCCAAAAGCTTAAGACATGCAATTCAATATCTGAAGCAATGATCTTTTAGAAAAAATGATAATTACAGAGGAGTAAGGTTTATAAAATTGTCCAACCTGTTTTTCTCAGTCATAAGAAATTTTTAACGCATAATTTATAATATTCCGATACATAGTTTTGGCATTTTAGAATTCTCCTCTAAAATTTCTTAAACTTTGTGACCCCCCCATTAAAAAAGTTTGCCCACCACTGGACTATACAATAATATGAGGGTACGTAAGTGCACGTTTTTGCGACAAAGTGGCGCCGTGAATTCTGTCGAATGACAGAATTTTTATAGATAACATCCGGGATGGTTCGGAGTGCAAAGGGTTAATAGGCTCGCTAAATTTCTAAGATTTTGTACAATATTTGATTAATATAATATCTAGTAACTGTTAAAATTTCAATGTTTTCTCATTGTTTTTATGTAAGGATTCATACAACCATAAGAAACGTAGAAGACGAATGTACATATTATAAGACTGGTCGGCCGATATTGCACGTCACGGGGAAAGATGAGAGTCTCGCGCGATCGAGCCTTACTTCTTAGAAACTTCTCACTTTGATCGTGAAACCACGAAAAGATACCAAGCCGGTGATATGTATTATCGAGACCTATGTACCACACCGTGAAACCAATTTGTACACGGAATGAACATTCCGCGCGTACAATTTCAAAAATTCCAATCGCGGGTACGATACGATATTCTCAACAGGATTTGATGCTAGCATATTTGCATATGCGGCAAAAAACGAAATTACGCAAAGTGTTAAAAAGTGGATCACTGCATTCGTAATTAAAACTTTGTAAAAATGTATAGAACTCTGATCCCACCATTAATTTCACAAATAATTTTCGTTTAGAATTCTCGTTTATTCTATGAAAATTATTATAGTTATACATGAAAACAGTTACCACTTTGCAATTCACAGAAACTGCTAATTAAATCGTGAATAAGCACGATTGTTCGTCTCTGCTTTAATTTTATTTGTCTTTAAAAAACACATTTCCAATCCCTCCAACCATGAAATTTACTTTTTGCGTCGTATCAAATTTTAATTAGCACAAAGATGATCAGTCGAAAAGGATGTTTATCTAAATCCAATGGATTAACTGTTATCAAAGCAACGAGTTTTCAAATTATCTCTTATCTATAACACCTATACAATCTCAATTGTAATAATTATCTCTGTTTCTAATCTAATGTTAAGAATATCTTTAATCTTCAGGTCGTATGAGCCGTAAAGTCTCTGGTAAAAGTTTAAGAAGTGTGATAAAAAGCTACGTCCAATGTTTGAACATAATGTCCATTGAGCTAATAATACCTCAATGATAATGTCTGGTTTTGATACTTTTTAATAGAATCGCACCTGTCGTGCAACTGTTTACATTGTCTACAAGTCGTAGAATTCTCAATTTTGCTTATTTTTTATTGTCTCGGAGTTGAAATTAGTTCGACTTTAAAATATTTTTTTTAGAACATGTATTAACAATTATAGAAAATTACAAAATTCTCTTATTGTTGCATCCATACAGGGTGTCCTCAAATTAAACGTCCAAACTACACCAGCATATTCTATGAGGAAAAAATAAGTAAAAAATGTTATATAAACACTGGTCTGCAAATGCTTTATAAAAAAGTAATAATAAGAAAATGAAAATAAAGTAAAAAGCGAGCTCGTTGTTGGTACGTTGGAGTGTAACAATGAGGGGGCAGTTATGAAACTTCTAGCCACACTTATTATTTGAAATAGTCGAACGCGATAACGCAGAGATCGAATTATGTAAATATTTGTACTGTCGTGATCAGTGAGGGAATTAATGTCATTTCCCAAACGTTAATTCGCGACGAAAAGCAATAAAAACGATTAATGGTGCACTCACTGAACTAAGGTAAGATAAAGATGAAGTACAGAGATTGATAAATTCAGTTTTCCTAGGATGTCCAGTTTCTATTCGTACCAGAGGACGGCACTTGGACGGCACGACTATAACTTTTTTCTCTTATTGTCACTGATAGAACAGACTGGTCGAGTTTGATCACTTAATTCGAGGACACTCTATATATTTCATAAATGAAACAAAAATTTTGCCGTTCAACGTATGAATTCTAGATGTGTTGTTTTGTCATATAAATTCATTCGACGCTTGCTTCGTCAAACTTTCATTCCGATTTGCAATTGTTTTTCATAGTCTTGTTGCACAACTCAGGAATTTTATGTTTTACGGAAATTGTTCGATAAAAATGATCAATATATGATTGAATAAAATCTATGCTATGTGTCAAAGAAATTGTGTCCCATTCGATCCTAAAAAACGGAACAAACTTAATCGTTAACCCAATAATAAGCTTTTTAATAGTCTCGTAAAATTTCTAAAATGTTTCACAGCTTATTATTGTAATACTTAATAACTATTAAAACTTGAAGTGCTTAAAAACAATAATAATTATGATAACCGCGCATTCGCGTCAGATTTAAGATAAAAGTCCCAAACGAAAGATCTTGTCAGAGAACCGGATCACGTAATTTGGGTCAAATGTGGCGCTAAACCCTGACCTTTGCGAGACACTCGAGATCCTTGAAACAGTCTTGGTCTATGAATGATTCCGCAAGGATCGCGAGAATACTGTATTAATTGCAACACGTCGCGTTGTTTCGACAACGCTAATATTGATTTAACGCGCGAACAGAGGGAAAACGCAGCGTCGGAACGTTCTTCCCCGTTTTACGCAATCACGATTGCGTTATTCTACGGCGTGTGCGATATTAGCCGTACGCACGAGCGCGATTACATACACGTTGACTATACGGCACATTTTTGGATCAACATTCAATGAAGTATGGAAATCATAGAAATGAGTTTCAAAACGTCGCCGTATCGCGACGCACGATATATGAATCCGCGCTGAGCAACGCGTTATCCGACGAGCCTATATTTGAAAAACATATAGAAAGATAACACAATCTTTTTTCCATTAAACTGTAGGAATCACGGTGCGTTAATAAAACCACGATTGTCCGGCCGCAAAACTATTGAGATATGCAATGACTACAGTTTCAATTATAGTTAAACTGAATTGCAGTCTCGTTTCTCTGGTCATCTTTGGGAAAAGAAAGGCTCGTTGAAAGCGGAAGGGAATCGGTGTAACTTACCTTATCGAGATACTGGAATCCATGTTCCCGCGCGACCTGCTGGGCTACGTCCGATCCTCCCTCGACGTGTATCGCCCACTGATTACTATACGCTGCCACTCGTCCAACGAAAGTCACCAGCGCGACGATGGCCAGTCCGAAAATTCTCAACGGGCACATGATAGCTCTGCCTCTCGATTGCGACTGGTACCCACCAGCGGCTCCAGTTTCACACGCGACACTATTATCCACTATCCACCGAAAACCAGCACTGCTACCGACGACGACGCGACGTACGAGGCGACGACGAAGATAACAAGAACAACGACAACAACGGCACCAGCACAGCCACCACGTCTACCACTTCTACCTACCTATCGCACCGCACGATAGAAACAAACCTATTGTAGCGAGACGTAAAGAGGAGAAGCGATAATAGGAGCAGAGATGGCAGTTAGAGCGAGGTAGGGAGAGGAAGAGACGCGATGAAAAGAAGAATGAAATAAAGGTAAAATACGACCGAGTGGGCCCGCACCTGCTCCGATCGACTGCCGCCAACTGAATCACCGGCAGCCTGTGTCACTCGTTAAGTAGCCTCCGCTACTGCCGCCCAATGACTACAACTACTACTACTACTACTACCACCGACTGACGTGACGACTCTCTGGTGCTCTTCTCTTCCTTCCACGTCGCCGTCGTTGCCGGCGTCGTCGGTCGTCGTCGTCGTTCCCTCGTCGCGGTGACGTTGCTGCCACTGTCGCCGCCTTCGTTCAACGACGAACAGCGGTAGGTGGGGCGATCGTCAAGTCATGTGGCCGCTGTTGGTGGGGAAATCAACGCGATCCCCGTGATATTGATAATCGTGGACGATCCTGCACGTGGCTGTCCTCCTCTCGATCAAGGGCGACGCGCGTGGAACCAGCGTTCACCATCCACCCCGACCTCATCCGCCTCGCGGATACCTCTGCTCCTCCTACTCCTCGTGAACCACTTGCACTCGATGTTAAAATGGGTAAACCAGCTTCCCCTCTGCCGATGATCTTCTTCTCTGTTTGTGTTTCCCCTCCGTTGGATACGTTCTTGATTACGTCGGCCAACGACGGTCTTCGACGAGATGTTGTTCCAATGAGCTCTTCCTTCTCGCCTCTCTTCTATCGCGAGTCTCGTAGGATACCGACGACGTGGTGAACGCGATGCTGATCGAACAACCGGGTGATTAACCAGTCCGAACGATAAACTTTGCGGACGGCTGAGTTTATCCGTACACGAACAACATCCGTCAGCAAGAACCCGGTGGAAATCAAAGCGGACGAATAGGTACCTGACCGACGTTTGACGAGATTATCGTTCGGTGAGTTTCGCCGAGGAAACACAGTTTAGACGGTGGTCATCCGGTACCACCGTTGCAAGACGGTCCTCCGGCAGTCGCAGTCAAATACTTGGCCGGCCATTCAGCCAGCGTCCTTTGCACGCCAGCAGCTGTCGACCGAAAAGTCGGTCGATTCACGTCATCGACCGTTGGATCCCCGCTGCATACCTTAAGAGAACTCGTCGATGATGTCTCGGCCTCTTGGCTACTCCTGACCTGTCTCACTTTTATCCACGTTCTGCTTTAGCTCATCTTCAGTGAAACCACGATCTGAAAAACATTTCAGGAACCAAGTCATCATACCTTCGTCAGTAATTAAGAATCTTTGACTATAATTAGTATTGTAAATCTTATATTAACCCTTTGCACTCGAGTGGCGCTGCTACGGCGCCCGGCACGAAAACTAATTGCAAACTGTAATATTTAACAGATTTTGTTGTATTCAATAAAAATGAAAAAATTGGTAAAATTTTATTATTTGTATACGTTCTTTTGGGTATAAAATGATTTGAAGTACCCCTAAAATTCTTCTCTAATATAGCCGAAATCGTCTCGAGTTGCTGGTTCGACCGAGCGCAAAAGGCCTCGAGTGCAAAGGGTTAAGTATAGTGAGTCCCACGTATATTCGTATCCATTTCAGAACTGAATAACTTTTTAATATTACACCAAAGAACTAAATATTCGCTGGTGTGATGGAAGGCTTAGTTTATGCAACATACAACAAATAGTTTAAGAAAGTTATTCAACTTTGAATATAGAACTCACTGTATATCGAAACAATTGGAAAGAAATAAAAGGGAAATAATATGTACAAAAAAAGGGGGATTACTCCAGAGGAAAATAAATTGAACAATTAGCTCCCTCAATCCCATAACAAGGAATCATTTCCATAAAACTGTGGCAAACCAACGAACAAGTTTTAATTACAGTTAGGTAAATGAGTCTGAAACTGAGACATCAACGCGAAACTGTTGTTTGCGTATCGACGGGAAGTAATATCCCTCGGAAACGATGGCCATCGCTTTGATTAGATTCTGACGATTACTTGTTTTACGTGCGGTACATTAAATATAGTCGGTGGTGTCCAACCGAACTGTCCGACTAGTCATAAACGAATTCGAACTGCGAACGCATCTACATGTGTAATAACGAGGATCCTCGGAAGCGCATCCCGCCGTCATTCTTCGAAGTTTCGTGTTTTCAATTGGCCGCGTTCACGCATTTTCACAGTTGAAGAGTACTCGAATCAAGTCAGATTTTCGAATGAAAAGAAACACGATCGATACGCGTGGAAATAGTTATATCTCGTACAGGGAAAATTGCATTCAATGCGTATCTCGACCTGATTTCCTCCAGAGGTACATAGGGGAAATTTACTAAGGAAACATGATATCGTATCATCCCTCTTTTTTAATGATCTGTGTTCGTCCTAGAGAAAATCACACACATGTTCTTTACATTTTCATATAGGTAATCTTTTTACAAAAAGAGCATGTTGTATGATGTACAAGATATTCGCAATAATTTAGGTCATCGTTCTGATCGTAAATATAAATATTAGGAAAAGACCAAAGAGGAGGAAGTTATAGTATATTTTACCGACAATGTGAAAGCGTTTCTAAATCTTTCGTATTTTTAATATCTTTCTAGATATAAAAATGGCCTTCATACGAACGAGACAAAAATGGCTATTATCACAAATTTGCTACAAATGCTACAAATTTTTTTACATAATATGAAAGCGGGTTCAACCATGTAGTACATTATGGTCTTCAGGGTCAGTCCTTCATACGAACGAGACAAAAATGGCTATTATCACAGGAAATGCTACAAATTTTTTTACATAATATGAAAGCGGGTTCAACCATGTAGTACATTATGGTCTTCAGGGTCAGACGAGGATACAAATAAAAGAAAAATACTTAACATTTCGTAATATTGTATTTTTAGTATGTTGTACTAATAAGACCATATCTCGTGTTAAATGTGACTTCCGCTGACTGTGTTGATACAATTGAAGGACATCAAATAGTCTGGTCATTTTCCTTATCGAAATAGACGGATCTTCTTGAAAATGGAGATCATTTGTTTACTGAAAGAGTTATTTCACGGATCCCTTGACGTTTTGACTGTACGGGTCCTGTTTCAAACGTTTATTGGGATAGAGAAACTGAATTTCACTAGACTATACTCTCTATGAATATCTTCTTTCGTACATTGGTTTATTCTGTCTCTTATTTTAGTTACACTCGTAAAAAATATGTAATACATCCATTATTTCCTGCATAGAATAACGATACATACTAATAACGTATTATTAAATACACTAAAAACCAGAACTGTATGGAATTATACCAAATCTATCGTTTCTGGTTGTTACGCACAAATACACTGAACTAAAAGAATAAGCTTGACTTATGAAAAGATAAACATTCACACAGTCAGCGGAAATCACATTGAACATGAGATATAGCTTTATTACTACAACACATTAATAAATATAATATTACGAAATGTTGAATTTATATCTTTTATTTCTGCCCTTGTATGACCTTGAAGATTACAGTGTACTACATGGTTGAACTTGTTTTGTGACATTCAGTGACCTGAAAAGATTTGCATTCTATTTAAAAAAATTAAGGTCACCTTTATTTCTAGAAAAATATTAAAAATACAAAAAATTTAAATACGCTCTCACATTGCTAGTTAAATATGTATTAAAACTTGATCCTCTTCGGTTTTTTCCTAATATTTATCGTTTACGATAAAAACGATGGTCTAAATTATCGCGAATACCCCGTATTGCAACATCGCTTGGAATTTTGCAATTATTTCCTTGTAGTTCTTCAAGCGACCAATAATATCGTTAAAGTAGGAAACGCATATAAAGGCTCCATAAATTTTTAGCGAGCACAGGAACTGCCTACGTGGCGTCAGCATAAGGTTTTAGTACGCTTATTGTCAATAATGCACAAGACAGAACGTACATGGAAATATAAGAAAAATTTTGACTACAAAAGCCTAACATCACATCTAAAAATTTTCTTATTAAAAAATTAAGGTCACCTTTATTTCTAGAAAAATATTAAAAATACAAAAAATTTAAATACGCTCTCACATTGCTAGTTAAATATGTATTAAAACTTGATCCTCTTCGGTTTTTTCCTAATATTTATCGTTTACGATAAAAACGATGGTCTAAATTATCGCGAATACCCCGTATTGCAACATCGCTTGGAATTTTGCAATTATTTCCTTGTAGTTCTTCAAGCGACCAATAATATCGTTAAAGTAGGAAACGCATATAAAGGCTCCATAAATTTTTAGCGAGCACAGGAACTGCCTACGTGGCGTCAGCATAAGGTTTTAGTACGCTTATTGTCAATAATGCACAAGACAGAACGTACATGGAAATATAAGAAAAATTTTGACTACAAAAGCCTAACATCACATCTAAAAATTTTCTTATTAATATTTTAATTATGTTTATATATTAATTTTACAACACATGTTATTTTATGTACTTTATTATATTAAATACTTTACAGGCGTTTACTAGAACACCATGTTTCACACGCATATTTTTTACGTGATCCACGCAAATTGTATGAATCTACAGAAGTGTAATCCACGATTTATTCTACTTATTCGAAGAACGAATTTGAAACTATCGAGTTGTATTATGGTGGGATTTTTAAGGTCGCCGGATTTCGTGAAAAAGTACTCGATTTTCGAGCTGCGGTTCACGGTTACAATTCGATAGGACGCTTACGCCGATCAAGTGAAATTGCGTTATTCGTTCCCTCCGGGCTGGTAAATTCTACGGGTCTATTTTGAAAGGATGGAAATACGAGGCAGATTGCGATCAGTATATAAACATTTGCCTCGCGAAATCTACTAGCTGCTACCAGACTTTTCTGATCGAACGTGAAAAACCGGCGGAAATTGAAACGTTATCAAGCAAACGAGAGCTAGATTTACGGATGACGTAATGAGTTTCGTACAGTTTTAAAATGTTACTGATTCTAACAGCGATTGTTAAATACTTTCGACGCAACAGTTATTAAAGGTGGACAATAGAACCTTGATGCTAGGGAAATCGAGGAAGGTAACGTCACTCTATTGTTTTCATCGGATGAAATTATTATCCTATTGCATGCCGTCCTGAATTCTACTGGCGGGGTTAGTGAACGCGGCGAAGAAACGCAAAGAAAAACCGAGGATTCACATTATCGTCACGTTCAAGCGACGTTCCAAGCAATCCAACTTCCGGGGAGAGGACACTGGCGGTCCTACAGATACACAACTTCTTGAAAGCTCCATTTTGTGCCCGAAACAAGTTAAGTTTCCCCTCCTGTATTTGGCTTCTGCCGTTTCACCCGCAAAAACGAAAATCTATATTTTATATTTCGCCCGGAATATCCGACAATTTCACCACCGAATAAACTTTCCCCTCGAGCCTTAGTTTAAAAAAAGAGGAAGAAAAAAAAGGGAACATAAAATAGGCAGGAACAAATAAAATTAAATTCTCACAACCGAATATTGGAAAGTTTCCAATCAAAGCGACATAGGAGAAATACAATTTTTATTGAAACTGCACGAATTTCGTGAAACACGTTTGATCGACACATGTTAAAAACTGGTGTCAAAAAATTGATATTAAAATACGCATAATCTTTTATCAATATAAAGCTTATTATTTTATTACTGACTTATAGTTCTTCTAACTGTAACAGGCTCGACGTTAGAGCATCCAGGTTAAGGTCAATGCCGACGATTTGAAATACAAATTGCATTGCTAGGTCCGCGAAATCGATTTTGGCAACGTTCCTATACAAATTATTATCATCGTCGAATTATCTGGCCAGAACCAAATAATCTTTCCTATCGATATTCCCTTCCACTAACAAAATACATCCCCGTCATCAATAATTCTACGAACCTAATTCCCATTTGCGATTTTCACAAAACTCTTGAATGCGATTCAATTACCGTCGCAATGTCGCTAATCCGGTAAAATCCCGTAACCGCGGAAGAATTATGAAAATTACCGAACGATAAGTCGAGCCGAGGTGAGTGTAGCCCGACATTGTGTAGCAGCTTAAAAGAAGTAGACGCGTGGACAGATTTCCGGAGGGGAAAACGAGAAAAAGGAAAAAATCCGCTAGGCATTGGCTGGCCAGCGACGCGGCGGAGCGTCGCAGTCCACTGGAACATCTACTTCGTGCCCCGAGGAAATTGCATTCTGCGGTCTTCCTCCTCCGCTTCCGCACTCGGTGCTCCGGTGATAAAGAGAGAATAAAAGCGGCTGGCGCGGGAGAGGACAGCGTTAAAGAAGTGAATCAAATTTAAGCCGACTCTCTCGCTCCATCTTCGACGTCTATTATCACCCCGTCTCGTTTTCCGTCTGGCCTCGCCGCCGTCAGACATCCTCCTCTCCCTTTTTAATTTTCAAACAAAGCTCGCGAAAAACCTTTTCTACCCAGGCCTGGCTAGCGGAGAAGCCGATTCGAACGATTCATCCAGTCGGCCCTGGCAACGAACGCGCGTAGAAAGAGAGGTAGCAGAGCGGGACAGAGAGAGAGAAAGAGAGAGAGGAGCTTTGGAACGCGCGTGCACGCGCTCCAAATGAAAACGAACGAGGCCGAACCACTCTGGCAGGTAATAACCGGCGACCTTTGCCCCTACGAGCTCTGCCTACCTGGCCGCTACGTGACCGAGTTCTCTTTTCTTCGGGGGACTAATTTTTACGCACGGCCGGTGAGCTCTTTGGAACTGTGTTCCTCTGCTATAGGAAAAGGGACTGCAGCTGCCGAGAATCCTCTGAGTTAGGGATAAATTTTCATCGCTGAATCGCTGGGGAAAAATGACCATGTATCGATGAGTTCGTACAACATATTTCCAAAAACGTTTATAATTCCTCACAATAAAATATCTGTCGTACCTTGGCAGAGCTGATAACGAAATATTTGAACCGTACATGCAGTAGATTTAAAAACGACACGAAACAATTTCAACCGTCGCACGCAACCAATGAATCCTCTTCGATTTTCGACATGCTGTTGCATTGTTTCCCGTTAAGTCAGGATATGCTTATACGCACTACAAAAAATACTGATTGGCGAGAGGGAAAAAAAGCAACGACAAGTAATTTCAGAATTCAATTAATTGGCAACCGGCTGCCAGGCGAAAACAAAAGGTTGCGCGATGCAGCTAGTAACACAAAAACTGAGCCAGTTTAGGCGTGTTAGTTTCCCCTACGAGGACAAAATTCATAACGAGTAATAAGTCTACGTTTTATTTTTTCAATACTCGATCTGGCATCAATACTATTGAATTTTAACATAATTTTCACGCGTCAAAATAAAAGGAATTTTAATATAGGTGGTGGTAACGTATAGGATAAAATTGTTTTTAATTTAACGCGTGAAAATCATTTTAATTAATTTATTTAATTAAAATGCAACAGTATCGATGCCAGATCGAGCATTGAAAAAATAAGACGTAGACTTATTACTCGTTTTTAATTTTGTCCCCGTAAGGGAAACTAACACATGCCCGAGCTGTCTCAGTTAGTGCAGTTTCTGTATTACTATATAGGTGTACAATGAATGACATCGGTTTCACACGTTCCGTGTGCGTTGCATTGGCGTAACAAAAGAAAGCCACCGTTGGCGGCGGGAAGGAATGTGCGATGCATCTGCACCTTGGAAATTTTCCCAATGACGGGTCGAGGATTACGCAATTATCATTAACGCGGACAAAAGGAATGCCAACGAACCGAGCGGTTCGCGAGAGGCCTTTCTCGTAACAGGAAACACTCGGGGTCAGGGACTGCCGTTGAAGTTCATACCGGCTCGCGGTTCGTGCAATGAGACGCACTGGAAACCGGCTCGTTCGACTCGCTCGTTAAGATAACAGGGCTGTAGGTACGTACGCCTATCCCGTGCGTGCATCGAGTGTACAAAAAATCAAGCAACTGTCACACGCCACGGAGAGAGAAGAAGAAAAAAAAAAGAAACATTCCTTATACTACATTTCGCTCCGTGTCACTTTCAATAATCGTAACCACGCGATCGAAAGTTCGAATGTCATATAAATGTCAAACGCAACCTCCGAGTAGTCGCAGTTTTGGTACGCCTGGCAATAAAACCGGGGCTTATCTGTTCGAAAGCTGGTCCGTGCACTACGTATTGTCGCAGGACCCGCGACCTTCTATCGTGAGGAGAACCGACCGAAAAAAAGTAAATGTACCGTCCTCGAGTGGCGAGGGTCGCGTGATTCATGACGCTTTATCTACGAGACTCGTGCGATAGAGAATTAAAACTCGGCGGGTTCTCGGAATCGTGAACCGAGGGAATGTAGACAGGTTGGGAACAAGGCAGGAGGACTACACGTGGGCAGAAACACGCTCTCCCCGCCATGCCACCGCCAGCCGGGATTCACGGGCGAGACGGCGGGCGAGTATTCGCGTTACGAAGCTGTCAAGCCATGTTCCCGTATCATCGGAAAGATGAGCAACGCGACGAAACTGCACGCGAGACACGGTTGTCTTGTTCCGCTCTCGAGTTCCTTTCAAGGTAACGGTTCATTCACACGTTCCCGATGCCAAAGGGAGAATTATCACCGCGTGGCTTGACAGCTCGCATCCGAGACGACTCCTGGATTAATGCGGACCGGGGCGCACGCTTATTAATAGATTTTCACTCACGATTTCGGCCGCCGCTCGTTTGGCTCTCCGACTGCTCGTCTGGCCGCAGCGTCTTCGCGGGGCCGTCGATACACACGGCTCTGGCACGAGTCGCCGTGCACGAGAAATGCGTGGGAGAGAGAGAAAGACAGATTTACTCCGAATCGAAGCGAGGAATGCGGAAGACGGAGAAACGGGGATAGCACCGCACAGTTGCACAGCCTGGGAAACACGCCTCTCGTTCTGTGTATCTACCCGCGAGAACTGGATGCGGATTATTACTCTGGCCGCGCGATACCACGGTCGTGACGACACGTAACCTTGTTCTGTGAAGAACCGCGTGCAAGTCTTTTGTACCGTGTCACCGTCGCCGCGCGAATGTCGGATCGTGCGACGTCACTCCACGCTACGAAGTCATCCCTACGACGAACCACGGCTGACTAACGGCTCGGTCCGTCGCGCTCCGCTCCGATCTTCTCCCCACCGCGCACGATTCGCCCCCTACTTTGTCCCTTCTCCATTTGTCTCTCTCGCTCGATCCCTACCACGCGGCTGCTTACAGTGGGGTAGAAATAGGAGAAAAAAATTGTGAAACTTACAAATTTTTGTATACCCCTCATTTGAGCGAACAATATAACCGTGATTGGGGTATGTAAAAACTACCAATTTAATACGGTTACGGGAAACTTAAAATTATTGAACTTCTTTCATTATTCTTAAATATATATTTTAGTGTAATCATAATAAATTAATACATTCATTTAATTGCCTATTAATAGCAATTTTTTAATTAATAGAACGTAATAGTTTGTTGGTTCTAGCTATTCGTATTTTCATTCAACTATCAAAATTTCAGTTTTATATCAAAATTTATTCTTATACATGTCGATTGACATATTTCGTATCGTAGATTCCCATGAATACGTTGACGGGAGACTTCAACATAAACTTTATTCATTTTAATGGGATACTCCATTTTTGTATTGCTAATAAAATCCATCAAATCCTTTCACATTCAACGTCGATATTTTTGACATAACTGATTTATCTTGATATCGTTTTTAAATAAACTCATAAAATGCAATGAATTATTCATCCTACAATACTTGATGACGGTCTATACCAATTTTGGCTTCGCATCTTTCTTCTGTTTTTATAGCAATTAATATCTGTAATAATGATGAAAACGAGAAAAAGAACCTGATGAATTGAAGACAGTCGAGCTGCTTGAGAAATGCTCGCTATTTATAATTGTTTAGAACAATTGTAGCGATCGTAGCCCCGCGTGTTCGACGCCATCGTTCACTCGGTAACCGCTTGTCCATGTAGCATTCATGCTTCTCTTCCCCGCGTTCGTCATGGAATAGAGCGAGAGGATCGTGGCCACGGTGTGAAAGCTTGAGGGCCTATACATACAGACACTATCATCGTAATGTTACGGGTGGACTCATTGGTAGGCTACAGATTTTTATGCAAAATAAAACAGTTTAAGAATATATATTTTAGGTAAACTCATTTTATGATTTAAACATTGCAACTCAACATTGATATTCTGTACACTGTTTATATTTTTGATATACATATATTCTTGTAAATGAATAAGATATATTCATCAGGCAGAAGCTTCTGCTCTTTCCTTTATTACTTAACATTGTCATCAGAAGGGTTCTTGTATCTTGCAAAGGCCAGAAGATAATCTCGTCAAATGCTTAGCATAAATATAAAAAAATTATAATTCTCCTAATATTATTATATAATAATGTTTATAATTTTCTACTGTATTTACTATTCAACTTGGCATTTTATACATTACACATAGCGTTTATATATAATTTTGACACATTCAATATTCTTTTAAATGCGTAAAATCTATTATCAGGAGCTTGTGCTCTAATCATATATCAATATTGTCACCAGAACGATTCTCGTACGTTGTAAAGGCCAAAAGATAAAAATTGAAATGCTTAACATGAATTTCTGATCGTCCAACAAATTGAAACTTGTATGTGGACATATTTAGACAATTAATCAACGATCCAAATATTACGCTATATTTCTTTATTAAATGTTTATAATTGCCTATTCTATGTATTTCCTATTCAACTTCTTGTACGACATTTTATATATTACACGTAGCGTTTATATTTTTGATATGTTCCATAATCTTCATAAAATCTATAATAATTAGATAGATGCTTGTGCTTCTACCTTTATTTATCGCCTATGATCGCCTAACAATATTATCAGAATACTACTTGCACTTCGCAGAGGCTAGAAGATAATCTCGTGAAATACTTAGTACGAATTTTTGATCTACTACATTGGAATTTACTCATAGATGTTCATATGGCAGAAAAACAATTGACATTTCTACAATTATTTATTGGATGTTTATAATTTTCTATTCTTTTTGTGATTTGATCTATTATAATTGAGCAGGAATTCTGACTACTTCAACTTATAAAGCTCCTATTATCATATTCTCAGGAACAGTGCACCCAGTTTCCTCGTTTCCTAAAGATTTCGAGGCCACAAAGCGAGACTAATCTCTTAAACAGTGTAATACCTGACTGTATTCTTCAGCTTAAACCCTTTTCGCCGCAGGACGTGGGCCCGACAAGATCCTCGATCGTCCCTGGGGGTTTCAGCGTAGGAACTCATCGTCCCTCTCCTTCTCATAGCCTCCCAACCCTCTTCTTTCCACTCTTTCATCTTCTAGCCAGCCGCGCACAGGTAGCAGTACGTCTCTCTGGTGTCTTCAGCCTCCGTCAACCTCATTTCTTAGCCCGGCTCTTGCTTTCTTAGGTCTATCTCATTCTTCTTTCCCCCAGGTTGTCAGGTTGGCCCCCACAGGTGCCACCGAGCGAAAGAAAGACGGAGAGCCACAGGGATATTCACTAGGAATTCTTGATACCTGGTAAATATCCTCGAGCACCTTCAGTTCTTTCCCATCTTATCTTATCCGCCTATCAAGCTCGTTCGATGAACCTCATCGGGGCTGATTCCGACGGTGTATCCATACACACGTAGTGTATCGGCGGTGGCTAGTTGTTTGTCTCCAGGAACCCCCGTCGACACGTCGCTACTTGCATGCTAAACGAGCGGTGCCCGATAACGAGTTAGGATACCGCCGAACGCATCCTGATTTCCGTCGATCCCCACGTTATTTGCTACAACGTAAAGAAGATCAAGTGGCCTACTCACGATCTTTCCCCGCGGTGGATGATATTTCGGTTTTTCGAGTGCTACTCCATGGATAGACCCTCTGTTTTTTTATTAGAATTTTACTTAGGTATGAAAATAAGTTTCAAAATTTTCTTTATATTATGGTTCCTTCGATTGTGGAAGTATTTTCAAAACCCAATTTCAGGAAGAAGTTTTACTGTGGAAAAACGTATAAATATAGATTATTTAAAGCCCCTTTAATGCCATTGAAAAGTCTGCAACCCTCTTAGATAGACCTTTTTACATGAGACAACCTGTATACAACGTGTCAGTGAGAAATATTATATTATTTTCAATTATTTGTATAATAATCATTGATTTCATTGTAAATTCAGTCTAATTTGTCAGAATTAAAAGGATACATTTATTTAATGACCTCCATAATACAAATGAAATCATACAATGCATGTTTTGATAAATCATTAAATAATAAGGTACTGTATAGTATAATATCTCTTATTAGCTCTCTGTGTAGTTATCAGTGTATAATTATCAATGATAATGGTACAAATTGCTTCACTACAGTCACACCGAATTCATTAAATAATCTAATTGATACTATTGTTGAGCATTTATTATGTTCACAAGTAACATGTACATTACAATGTAAACGATACGCATTCGACAACAATGATGCAGTTAATTAATTGTTCAAAAAAGGTTAATACATCGTTAAAGTACGTCCACATAATGAATAATTACTGTCACTCATCAAGACAGATGAATTACAAAATTCACAAAGTTAACAAGCTTCGAGCGGTAACCCATCGACGTCACGAAAAATTTAATCGACAGGAAATCAGTTGGCTGTAATGAAGATGAAACGATGAATTGACCAATCAGTTTTGATCCGAGATACTCTGATTCTATATTCCGCTCCCTAATTATTCTCTTTTTTTCACGTTTTTCCCGACGGAGCTAATCGACTTTAAATTCAATTTTACAGACGATATTTCTCGGCCACTTTTTACGACAATAAGCGCGGCTTGAACGTCACGTTTTAATCTTCTCGAGTATCAGGTGCTTATTTCCTCCTAATATTCTTTCATCCCATGTTTCGACCGTGTATCTTCCTTAACGTACATATTACCGCCTAGCACGATAACGCAACGCTGTAAAGTACGGTCATAATTAAAAGAGGAACACTCCCTGACTAAACAATTACGTAGTTATTCGGGGAACGTTCACCTTGTCTCCGTCACATTTTTAACAAATAGCACGTGCGCCTCTTATTAAACTGGAAGTTGATATCAAGGTACAAATAATTCTTGCGTTCCTCCCTTTAATTTAGTAGATTCTTCCTTACATTCATACCAGAAAATTATAAGAACTGACTGTACTTCTACAGATAATTTCAAATATACAATGGCTTACAAAAATATTCGAATAAGCATATTTGCTTGCATTTGCAAACTTTAATTTATATCAACATAACTCTTTTAAAACAATTCGGTGTTTATAATAAAGAGGAAATTTGAAGATTTATTATAAATACACAAGATGAATGATTCAGTGGAACTATTTGAATGTTATAATACTGATGATATTTTTCCGCATTGAATGTAAAAATTGAATGAAGCCTTCGAATGCTATCATAAGCCTCTATATAGAATGTACTTAAATATTAAATATTATATACACTACTTGAATAATGTATTTCTCATCTGTGTATCAGAAGGAAATAAAGTAGAATTGATCAGCATAGTTTAACTGTGCTTTAGATAAACTTTAATACATTATCTTTTAATATATTCTAATGATAGTAACATTTTTAAATGTTATATATATTTAAATGTTTTTATACATTTAAATATTAAATAATATAAACACTTTCGTGAGCCACTATGTACATATTGAATAATATAATTCTCACCTATTCAGGAAAAGAAATAAAATAAATTTGGTCAGCGTATTTTAACTTCCAGATAAACTCTAGGTTCAGCCTAACTTATCCATTCGATCTAAGGCTTAAATTCTTTACCGCACCGTTTGTTCCTCAACCGTTATAAAAGTCAGCCCGATAACAGTCAGTGGTCACGGGTTTTTGTTTCCACCGGCTACACGGAAATCGACGAACGCGATTTGGGAAAAAAACGGGATCGATTCGTACGATCGGGGGCAACGTCGTCATCCTTATTCCTCTCGTCACCGTAGCGAGCCTCCATTAATCTCCGTCAGTCGCGTCTGACGGACGCAAAG